CCGTACCCACGGTCGACTAGGGGGGAGTCCAGCGACATAGCCATTACTCTAACTGCTGGTTCCCAGCTTGCTTTCTTACTTTCCTTCTCTTTCTCTTTCTCTGCCTGCCTCTCTCTGGTGAACGTATGTGCACTATAGCACACAAAATAATAACAATAAATAAAATTAAATATTAAAGAAAAAGATTCTTGTTACAGGGTGCACACGCTTGCCAGACAGAGAGCAAGAAACAGAGCCAGAAAGTGAGAAATCACCCCCCCCCCAGGGAGGATGGCCACGCCACAATTGCTTCTCCATTCTCCTCTCAGGATCTTAGGGACACACATACACAGGTCCAGCATGAATTTAAGTCACCAGGTCCAGGACTTGAACCATGGTTGACTACCTAGGAGTCTAACAATGTAACCATAACCCCATCTGCTGGTCCTTCCCTTTTTTTTTTTTAATGTTTATGCCATAGGGCTCGTGCATTTGCCAGAGAGAGAGAGAGACAGTGAGAGGGAAAGTGAGAAGTCACCCCGCCCAGGGGAGATCACTACAATCCCTTCTCCATTCTCCTTCTGAGATTTTGCACACACACGTGCACAGCGTGATTTTCGAGCTGCTCAAACCATGGTGGACCATGTGGATATTCAGTGCCTTAACCACTACGCCACCTGCTGGTCTTCATGGTATTTATTTTTCATAAAAGAAATAAAACTGCGAATTCAATAACTGGCTTCCACAATCATGGCCTTGAAGGCGTAGAATTAAGTTGTCACCGTATAGGTCTCAGAGCCCGATTCCCAAATCACAGGACCCACTGACTGTTGTAGGAGACCAGAGGCTCCAGAACTGAGGCAACCCAGCCCTGACTCTGGACCTCCCTAAGTGCAAATCCCAGCCCTGCCCTGTTTAGATGGGTGGCCTGCCCCCTGGCGCCGAACCTCTGTCCTTTCTGAGTAACAGAGAAACTAACCATCCGTCCAAGTCGCTGAAACCCGGCTCTGTCCCGGTCCCCAGGAGATGCGCTCGGTGCTGCGGAAGGTGGGCTCCCCGCGCAAGGCCCGCCGCGCGCGCCTCAATCCTCTCGTGCTGCTCCTCGACGCGGCGCTGACGGGGGAACTGGAGGTGGTGCAGCAGGCGGTGAAGGAGGTGAGGGCTGCAGAGTGCTGGAGGGCGCAGGGTGGGGAGCAGGCGCGGGAGGACGGCTGGGACTGAGACGCTCCCTCCCTCGGGCCCTTCAGATGAACGATCCCAGCCAGCCCAACGAGGAGGGCATCACCGCTCTGCACAACGCCATCTGCGGTGCCAACTACCCCATCGTGGACTTCCTCATTGCCGCGGGCGCCAACGTCAACTCCCCCGACAGCCATGGCTGGGAAGGCCC